ATATATATATATATATGAATCTGAGAGATAGTGGCGGAAGACACGGTGAGGGAGCTCAGAAGATGACTGTCAGACCGGTCGCTGGGAGTGTTAACTGCTTCAGGACCAACCTCTATCCTGCGTGTGGACATGCCCGTCAAACAACAACAGCTCACGACAGCTCACAGTTGCTCCAGTGCAGACAGGAAGTTTCAACTTAGCATGCCGAGTGTGGTTCTAAAAAAGTCAGGGAGAAAGGTTCTGAGTCAGATCTGAGTATATATGCTTTGCCCGTTTGTCTTGTGGTTTGAGCAGTGCTTTGGACTGCAAAGCCAGGGGTCAAAACTGACTCTGCACCTGGTCTTGGTCGATTCGTGGTCTAGTTTCGATCGAACTCAGACTCTGCGCAGCGGTGGCCGAGCGAAAGCGCAGCTGAGCGAGCAAGGGCATCGCTACTAGTAACAAGGACTCTACTACCGCTACTAGGGGCTCCGGGCCATACTACTAGGAGCAAGGACGCTACTAGGAGCAAGGGCTTCAGGGGATACTTTCGCGTGCGAGACATGCTGGCTGTGGAGGTGTCACATCTGTCACTAGGCTTCCTCAAAATGGCCAGGACCAACAAGAAATGGCATCTACTGAATCTAGTAGGCCCTTGCGACTTGATTCTTGAGCGTGCCCTTTGCTGTGCTTCCTCCGTAAGCACTCTGTGATTATGCAGTTTGATGCTGTTGGTGGCTTGCTCTCTGCGTGACAAAGAAAATAGGTTCACCTACAATGAACGGCCGTGCTCAACAGGACCAGAATAGAAGCGATGGTCTCGAACCTAATTAGAGAAACCTCCAACATCTTCCAACCTAATTATAGAAGAAGATTCGAGACTCTTCAGATATCCGAACTAGTATCTTAAAGTCAATAAGTTGATTCAGCATGATGTTTCAACACACATGTTTGCAACCTACCAGCAACCACTCGCTTGGTGTTCGGACCATATATATACATAATATGGCTCCATGCTTTGTTGAAGGGTCCATACTCATGTTGGAAGCTCATCGCAACTGACGAAAGTTCATTCCCTAGGGCCCTAGGGATCCAAAGACCTTCTCAGAAGGTACTTGAACTCTCCAAACAACCAACATAACAGTGTCTCCAATCACCATACCTGAGAAGGTAGTTGGATTCCGGTTTTCGGCGGCGCAGGCTCAATGCGGGGGCGAGTGCAGCTCCCGCCGCTCCAGACCCGCCGGAGGGCGAGAGCAAGTGAGCTACACGAGCTGAGGGATGAAGGCCCAAGAACTCTGGGAGAAAAGGCACGAGCCCAGTCAGTGCTTTGGACACAAAGGATGAGTCCGAAGGCTAGGAGGAAGAACAGAGCGAGTCAGGAACCCTTGCGAGTTAGGTGTTTTTGATCTTTAAACAACCACGGGCAGCAGGCAGAGACTCTGAACTCCGTACTATATCTTTCGGAGCATGCATGCGATGTCAGAGTACGGCGAATGTAGACCAGGAGGTTTTCGCAGACCAGGACTGAGTCATGGCAAGGTACAGCACCCTACAACGGTACAACTGCAACATGTTTGAGCTGTCGGCTTCGTTACCGGCCCACGTTTTGGGCTATTTCAACAAGTTCAGCTATTTCCCAGCCCTGTGGCGGTATTGTCGATCCTTTCAGTGGAGATGGGAGATCGGAACCGATCGGAACCCAAAAGATACTGACGCATACCGCGCAGCAGCTTCGCTTGCTCTGAATGTGGGACAGAAAAATGTTGGCAGCATTTTGAAAGCTCTCAAGCAAAAACTCAAACACCCTCGAAAAAACCGTCCCGTTTTCGGGACAAAAACCCTGGAAGGGTTGCATTTTTGAGAAATGGTGACCTGGTTTGGGCGATCCGTTTTCACCGATAAAATGTGGTTCTCGCTGCGTGCAAACGCACGAAATGAACCAAAACGTGGGCCAGTAACGAACCCGCCGGGATGTTTGAGTATGTTGGAGAAGGATGTGGCCTCTGAAGAGTTCTTGGAAGAACGGTCCCTCTGCATCAACAACTCGGTACCTCTCTGAAACGGTCATACATGTCATACCTAGTCGTCATACCTATTGTTACCTATTGGTCGAAGCTGTGCCTCAGAAAAAAACAAAACAACACATACTGTAGACTAACTACACAGACCTTGCGCATCAGCCCTTTGCACCTAAGTGTATTTGGGATCCCAGAGTCAGGTATTCTTGACAGCATGCTCTTCAGCGTCAGGTGTTTGCCGCAGTCCTTTTTGTTTGGGCTGCAGTGGATAATTTCAGCTTGCTAGTACTTCTCCATGGTCAAAGCTGATTTGAGTCCAAGAGCAACGTAGATCTCTAACTGCTTTAGACAATTAGTAAACTTAACAGAAAGACATCAACGGAGAGCAGAATGACTCACCCAAGAGCTACAAAGAGCAATCTGACTTCTCGAGCCATGGTCTTTTTGGGCTAAACCCCTCGTTGGAGATGAACAACGACGGGCGGGAGGCGAGGAAGAGGACGCGATGGCCTCCAACCTAAGAGCTAGACCTTTCTTCCTTTTCTTTTTTCAAGTAACGATGGCCTCCAACCTAGAAGCGATGGCCTCCAACCCACGGTTGGACAAGCTTCACCAGATGAACCTTGAAGCAAACAATGCAAAGGACCGGATAACCCCACAATGTGAGGTTTATTTTAGTGCTGATGAATTGCCCAGTGTCCACCAAAAGGTTCCAGACATTGCTCAACCAAAGAACCACGCCCTTGGCACCTTCTCCAGAGTTGACACTTGAACCGTTCCCGTATGATACGTGCCCCGTCTTTGACAGAGAACTTGGGAGCCAGACCGGGCCAGACCATTTTCCTCATAACCCTCCTGTCATCCTAGTAGCGTCCTTGCTCCTACTAGCGATGCCAGGAGCCCCTAGTACGGTAGTGTCCTTGCTCCTAGTAGACCGCATGTAGCGAAATTGGGGTCGGTTTGACCATGCTTCTCTTGCATTGAATCCAGTGGTGAGAGACCGTGTTTGACGGGCGGGAAGACTGGGATTTCTGTCAGGTGACGTTGGATGCTTCGGGACAAAACACAAAGATCACACTCTGACTCACTAGCGAAGAGAGCTAAAAGCAACGTCGAATTCTTGGGAAAGGAGTCTTGCCAGGGGTCATTGTGCACATTGATCTTCATGAGATTTGAAATTGATTTCATGAGTCAGAGTCAGAGTCTAAACAAAAGAACATCCTTGGATTGGAGACTTTGGAAGTGTGACCTGCAGATGTTTCAGCCATCCCCCCACATATGCGAGGCTGTCGTCCTTCTTGCCAGTGAAAAAACGCACGCATTTGCACCCGCACACATGGACCACACGCACCGCGCTTGCTCGGTCGAGGTGATCCTCCATTCCTTGAAAAACCTGGATGTCGAAGTCCCAGTCTCTCATGGCCAGGTGATGTCGGAAGTGTTTGGGGTGGGTCAGGTCGACCGTCGCCAGGTCGAGCGTCCCAGTCTCTAACTTGTTTGGATCCCTAAAACGGTTGGAAAGGTAAGTGGGAGCTTCTTGTGGGGGGAGGGGTGACTGAGTGACCTCTACAAAGCAGCAGCAATCAACCCACTGCCTTGACATATTATGTGCTCCGGCTTGGTTTCTGCCAGACGATCAGAGTATCAAGGAACAAGAAGCCATGAAGTCTTGCATGTAAAGGGCTCCCTGATTGCTGTGAGGGTGAGGATTTGAGTGCCAGATCAGAGTTTGTTGTGGAGGGCCTCTAAAGGACACTTGCATGGGCTCACCTCACAAAGGCAAAACACCAAGTTACAAGGCATGCTATAGCATGGTTTCTTGCAAGACCCACAACCCACGCCACCTCGCAACTTTCCCAAAAAGCGCTTCCCAAAAGAACGAAAAGAGTACCGACACCGCAGCGGAACTCAGGATGCGGCACTCGTGCGCGTGCTGGGTCAGTTGATGACATCGCACCCACAAGTGGCTCCGAAACCCGGTCAACCTGGGCCGTGCGAGCAGCGAGTCGTCGCTCGTGGATGGATATCTTCTTTTAGCATGTTTTAGCAATTTTTCGCTATTAGGTTAGAGGCCATCGCTATTAGGTTGGAGGATGTTAGAGGCCATCGCTACTAGGTTGGAGGATGTCGCTATTAGGTTGGAGGCCATCGCTATTAGGTTGGAGGATGTTAGAGGCCATCGCTACTAGGTTGGAGGATGTTAGAGGCCATCGCTACTAGGTTGGAGGATGTCGCTATTAGGTTGGAGGCCATCGCTATTAGGTTGGAGGATGTCGCTACTAGGTTGGAGGATGTTAGAGGCCATCGCTACTAGGTTGGAGGATGTCCCTGGAGAACCGTTTGATGATGTTTTTCTTGTTACTTCTTGTATCTG